GTAAAATTTTATTTTTTTGGATTATTATGGAAAATCAAATTAAATATATATTACAAAAGTGTACACCTTTTGTATGAAAAAATTAAGAAGAAAGATAACGTTAAGTGTTCTGTTGTTAAAATATAAAATTCTTGTAAATCATACATAACGTGTACTTCGTCCGTATCAGATGAAACTTTCAAGGTTAAGTGCGTTCGATAAAAGAGAAAGATGGCGCACATGTAAAATTCTGCGATATTAAATGTATGGTTGAATTTGCGTCAAACTACGTATATAATAAAAGGTTATGTTCGTCACAATCGAAAAAAATAAAACACGGTATATGTAATATTACATTTACTAAGGAAACTACCAAAAAATTAAAAGTAATCTAGAACAGTAATTCAGTGAATAAAAGGATAATGAAAATGCACACATCTCGTATACTTTATGGACTTGGAATTTTCGTCTTTTTTTTTTATTTCACAAAAGTGTCAAGTGCACCAAGTGTATTAAGAACACAAAGTATTATAGACGTAATGAAGCATGATAGACAACTGTGTAAATTACCGACGTTTTTATACGAAAATAATGTTACAAGGGAATGCCTTAATGTGACATATCCTGAAAAAATTCTGGCAGCTGAATGTAAAAATATGAATACTTTTTTATGTTTAGCATTGTATGATACATGGAATAAAGTTTGTCAATTTAATAAGCCACTTATTAATACAACTAAATTTTATGTACATATTCAGCAATTTTTCCCTGATGAAGATGAAAATGGAAGGGCTGAGTTTTGTAAAAATCTTCAAAATGTAACACTTTCATATGAGAAAGTAAAGCCATTATTATCACCTCTATATTTGAATACTTCTATGGCATGTTCTTTAGCATGTTTTGATAAAAATGAAAAATTCATTCCACTTTGTGCAATATTATCTTGGAACAAATATATTGATGATAATATAAAAAAAATGAACAAAAATGAACAGATAGATTCACCTGATGGTACATCTAGTACAAAGATAAGTACAGATCCACAAGAATCTAAACAACTGCAAGATTCTCAACTTGCATTGGCTCAATTTTCCAGTGAAATAAGGACCGAAAATATTAAGAGTGATACTAAAGAAGATAAAGTTAATCTTTCAAACAATGATAACAAATTAAAAGACATACAAAAGGAAGAGTCTACGATTAAAATAGCATCTGCTACAAATGTATCAGTCATGTTAAAGTCATCAGTAACAGAGAATAAAAATACATCTTTTGCGACAAAATCTAAAGATGTGAATTTGAATCAGCAAAGTAATGTAAATAATGATTCTTCTGCATTAAATCAGCATAAAAAAGTTGTAGATAAGCTTGATGAAAAAGTTGAGGATTCTAAAAAGCTTGAAAATCATAATGTAAATGCTTTAAGCAATGAAGCTTTAGAGAATATAAATGATCCTAATGAGGACATCAAAACAAGTACAATATCAGAAGACACTCAGGACCATGAAAATTCTGCAAATCAAAATAATTGGAACCATGGGGACACACCTAATGGTATAAGTTCATTAGCATTTTAGATTGTTAATTGAAATTTATAATTTATTATACACTTAAATTACATATTCTTCATTTACAGATGCAAATGATGCACCCGATATGATCATTGATACAGGTAAAATATAGTATAACCAAAGTTACTTTGATAATTATTAATACTACATGTTTATATGTATTACATCTGCTTATAATAGGTGATCAAGGTCAAAATATACCGGATCCTTCAGAACAGAGAGATGATATCATATCCCACTATCATAATATTACGTCAGAAGAAGAATCCCATTTTTTTACTTACTTTACTGTAGTTTCCTTAATTTCCATAGCTGCATATATTGGTTATCACAATAAACAAAAGGTAAATGAATATTTTGTATTTCTATTTAAAAAGTTTTAATTGTTTATGTGTGCAAATAATATCTTAGTACTTTTATATTTCAGATATTAGCTATTGTATTAGAGGGACGAAGATCACGAAACAGCCGTGGTAGAAGACGACCTAGTACAGCTAATTATCGTAAACTAAATTGTACACTAGAAGAAGCAGTTACATCACAGTGTAATGCAAATGTTACTCATGTCATATATTAATGCATGTAATGTATCTGATACTTTAAAGCAACTGTATAATAGCACTCGTGTAACATATTTTGTATTCAAGTATATTTCGATCATAATATGAGTTTATCTTTAAAAAACTAATTATATCTTAATATTTCATTAATTGTTTTGAAGTTAGGTTCCATTATTATTAATGTAACAATTGATTCTATTTTAAAATGGCAAAGCATTTTGCTTCTTTTCAATTTATCTTCAGTAATCTTGTTGCTTTCCAGTCAATTTTTGGCATTGAAAACAATTTTTCAGTTACAGTTTAGTATTTACACATTATACATACATGCCCCAGTATATATTACATATTCTTATTGAATAAGTTACAATTACTTTTTTTTTTAATTTAAAAGCTTTTGTTTATTTCATAGTAGTCACAGTCGCACAATCACAGTCAAAGAATGTTTTTTTCGTTATGGTATTATGATACGAACAAAATTAGGGATGAAAATATTTGAACACTAATGTTATACGTTTGTCAACTTTGGTTAATTTGAACTTAATCGAAATCATAATCGTCAGTCGTAAATTATATGCATCTTACATTTTAATCTTTGAGTTTACTAGAAAGTACGGTTTTTTTTTAAATGGTTAATTATCTTTGCTTAGAAGGTAAGATTTATTTTACAAACAATTTTATATTTTATGTGTGCACATTATATGTATAAACTTATATTTTCTTAGTAGCAAGGTTTATTTTTCAAAAAGTTAATTGAATTATTAGGATAAGGTTAATTTTTTTTTTAATCTAAGCAGTAATCCAAATGTAAATATGTTGTCAAAAACTAACATTGACAAACGAAGTGTTATTTATGCAGCACTTAACTTTCTATATTAGTTTTTAAATCAATACAGTAAAATGGTTTTAGATGGTGTTTATGTACTGTATTATTTTCCTTCATTGATTTCTCATTGTTTGGGTATTTATTCATAGCATACAGCTGAATAATTATAAAATAATGCTAGACTTATATTACATTCTTCTAAACAGTTCCTTCAATGATATACAAGGTGTGCCATAAGGAAACCGACAAATTTCTACAACTTCTTGACAAATCAATCGCAGCTAACAGTCATTTAATGTGGATGTAACACTATTTGTTAAAAAGTAAAACTTTCTTAGAAAGATTTTTTGGACCGAAAGTTTTATAACTAAACTTTAATATTCACATAATTCTAGTAAAAGATTCAAAGAATTGAAATCTGACAAAATATTGGAGAGGAGGGAGAGATATGAATACATTGTGGAATGTAAAATGGTAAGGAATTCATTGAATAGGAAACTGATCAATAATATTGACTAATTGATCAATAGTACTGACAAATACAATATTGGCATATTTCATGTTAAAAAACATATAGTGCATTGTTCACAACAAATTAACAAAAATCCATCTAACTATAGGAATAGACATAGGTATACACTTTGTTTTCTATATTGAGAAGTAAAGTATTCTGTCACTTAATGTCTATATTGAACAACACTTATTTTGATAGCAATGGTTGCATTTGTAAATGAAACAATATCAATTTTGAATAGCATTTGTATAGTATAACTAAAAACAGAAAAGTTAAAGAAACAAGAAAGATGAAAAAACTGACCTTTGCAAACATATGCTTTCAATATCTTATTGTTGGTGAAACTTTTGAACTTAGAATTAAATACTAATGTATATGTTCTTTTCATTGCAGATTGCAGAATGTCCTACTAGGTATGCTGTAGAAGTTTGTCGGTTTTATCATAGGGTATCTTGTACATATATACACATATTGCAGTATTAATGTATATAATAACCACAATTTTTAGTTTTGATATAGCATACTATTAAATGTTATTTATAAAGCACTATTCTAATGTTGTGTAACATATGTTATTCATGACATTCAAATGCATTAATATTAATGTTACAACTATCTAAGCATTATAACTACTTATATATATATATATTAAGTTTAAGTAACTTCAATGCACAAATTATATTGGTATTTGTACATGTATCTTTGTATTAATATTAAATCCAAGACAGTTAAATTGATCATTATACATTCGTTGGAAATTATATTGAATTAATTTATCAAATATTCACATATACCGTCCACTTGTTCGCGGGTATACAGTAAAAACATTATTGTAAATTACAAGATCAAGTATATAATAAATTTCATACATCAAAGTGAATGTTAATTATTGTGTTTACATCGCATTTTTGCAACAAAATTATTAATTATAAGATTTAATATTTCTCGTTAAAAAATGTATTATTTATTTAATAACATATGTTTAATAGACTGTAATTATTGATGTAAAACTTTAGAATAGTAGTAATTGATAGCGTGAGAGAAATTTGTGTGTACAAAAATTTATAATTTAATGCACACTTGCTATAAAATAAATTTTCAGAATCGCATACATAACGATAATAATAATATAAATAAAAATAAGAATAGAAATAAAACCATAACATGTACATGTAACAAAGAAAATATTTTGTATTTATTATTTTGGACAATAACATGCATCTTTTGTTTGTTGCAATAACCAACTTAAGTGTGGACCAATCCTTGTGAATATTGAAACAGCAGGTGTGCTACCGCATTTGTTTATGTCCGAAATAATCCCTGCCGTAAAATTAAATTATTTATTAATTTCTGGCAACATCAAATTTTATATTTCGCGCGCAACAGTGCAATGATAGGTTAAATTGCGAGAATAGCCGAGCGGACACGAACTTTGAGCGCGGCAACAAGCGTTGATCATAATCGATACTGTACTTGTAATTACTGAACATAGCTGAACTTGACGTGCACACTCGGTTGCTAACCCGGAATTGACATAAATTTCGCTTCTTTTTTTTTTTTTTTTAGCAAAAAATTGTACAAACGAGGTGATCACAAGTTATTAAAGCAAATATGAAAGATTAGGTGCAACAGCAATTATGTAATGGAAAACCTCTATAAATTTAATAAGACAGCACGGAAAATTTCATTCAAGAAGGATTCTCATTATAATGATAAAACGTTTGTCGTTATTCAAGTAACTATAAAAATTTCAATATAATTTTATTGTAAATGTCATACATACCAATGATATCGTAAACTCCTGCATATGAACGATACTGCACAGAAGAACCTACGTCATTCTGAAATGTACATTTTAAAGGTGTATTTAGGTTATTATGAAAACTCATTACAAAGTGAAAAGAAAACAAATTTGGTTTAAATTTTTCATTTAGAAGTGTTGCAGTAGTCATCTTTTTAATCTTTACCATTAAATTAACTAAAAATTTCTATAAATTAACTATAAAGATAAAATCATTGTAGTAATTTAATATACCTCGCATACAATAGAGCTTCCACCTAATACGCCAGCACAACCAGAATCGTTGTGGAAATTCATAGGATTTATTCCAGACCTTACGCATTCGTCGTAACCTAAAATTGGAAGGCCCAATTTTCGCGGTCTACAAGTTCGGTTATTGTTTTTATCCTCTGCATTGCTTGCTGTCCATCCGACTAACGTTCCAACTTGTCCGAGATAAGTTGAGCCTGGAATTCAATATTAGAGATGGCGTACAAAATCACTAATAATAACGACTGTTACAATTACTACACGTACAAACCTACAGAATATGATACCTAACATTGAAAGTATTTTTGCGTATACATTAAAAATTAAAGAAGTCCGGCGGTAACATGCATAGGGAAAAGTTGCTTAGAATGTTGACCTTGACAACATATTTCAAAGTCATTGAAATTGGTGCTAAGGACCCTATTCTCAATAATTACCCTATCGTGTTTCATTTTATTATTTTATTTAATATACTAGGCTTTTATTTGACTTTTACTTGACTCGGAGAGAGAATAATAATTTGACCCCAGAACCAGAAAAGGTTGCCCATACCTGCTTTACATTATAAAATCATATGTATTCAAACGCGCGTCTATCAAGGGTCTGTCCTTTTTTTTTTTAATTTTTAATTACTATTTTATTCGGTGTATTTTAAGCGGTCCAAAATGATCTACATTAAAGATCGCGTCCGGTAGTCAGATCGCGATCGATGTTCTCCATTTTGTTACAATGGAATATCTCGAAGTGATAATCGTCGATATTGATGAAACTTATGTATATGGAAGTACTAAAAAAAAAAAAATATTTGACAGGTTTTTTTGTTATCGGCAATCGTTCACATTGAAGTGGTGAAAATCGCCCTAAAAAAATCTTTTCATCCGAGGCTTAGTTTTCGAGCATACGGAGTTTGAAAACCCGCTGCGTGTGTATGCAGTTTCACCTGACAAAACTTATAACGCCCCTATCGTGTTTGTATATGTTAGATCTGACGAAATGGAAACGGACATTCTGACGAAAGCATTGACCGTCGAAAAATTTCACAGAAACATCGGTAGATTGAATATTTGCGGATTATGCACATCAGAAGCCAACAGGGGAGAATGTTGGGAATGGCGTGCTGTGTGTGTGTGAATCCGGGGCGAGAGTGCGAACAGTCGAACGTATTAAGCCGTATCTCCACTGCGTCGGCATTTGTCAACCAAGTGTGGACATGCGTTTCGGGTTGTGCCGCGTAGCTTGAAAACTCGATCGGTATGCCAATCGAGTTCTCAACTGATGTCGGTAAACATTAAAAGAAATTGTGCCGAAATTAGCAATGTTCTGTTGAGATGCGTAGAAAAGATGCGTATGGAGGTGTATATCCGACCGCACAGTCAGATTTTATTGAGCTATCGAATGCGATCAACGTACGGGAACGTGACGGAGAGAGAGAGAGAGAGAGTGATCGAATGAAAAAGTTTTAAAATTAATAGATATGATAAAATTGAAAAAAAAAAAACTCGTTTCCTAATTGTTTTTTTCTTTCTTTTTATCATTTCATCGTCACCGAATATTTTGTTGTATTGGCGTGCCGATTGGCAAATACCGACGAAGTTCGGACACGGCTTTATGTGAGAGCGTGTAATAGGAACGCGCAATTGGTAGCGTGTAGTGTTAATAAATAAATATTTTATATCTTTATATATGTTTAGTCATTAATACAACTTTTAACTTCTCTGTATTCGATCTCGCTCCCACAGTATACAACGTCTACGCAATTTTCTCTGATATCTTATTTGAGCTGTCAGTTTAAGGATACGCTGTAACGTTTAAAACGCACTACAAGCAAAAAACAGAGCTTTCTATTTTATAATAAATTAGCGTCCCTTTTACACAGTTAACATAAAAACACGAGCATGTTGTTGAGCCTAAACCAGAGAAGTTAAACGTACGGGTCATATGCGCAGAAGTGAGTGCGCAGTATTACCAATTTTGAAAACATCTAAAACAAAGTACGAACCTGGATTTGGCAAGCAGATAGGCGATATCCTCCTTTCGAATTTAATTGGTTGACTTAACTTGATCAGTGCTAAGTCATGAGCGCGGGATTCGAGATTATATTCCGGATGTAGAATCAAAGATTCTACGCTGATCGTTGCCGATGATATATCTAGATTGCATCGATCGTACTCCCCAAGGGATACCTTTACTTCCGGTGCAGTTACACTGCGATGAAAATTAGCAGATTAGTGTGCTAAATGTGCATGCAACAATGACATTGTTTACCAACCTAACGAGTTGATTGGCTGATGTTAAAACGTAGCGATCGTTTATTAGAATTCCGCTGAATAGGAACTGCGATCGCACGTGAATGTTCGCAAGCCATGGAAATTCATGCGCCTTCGTGTACTCTCCGCCGAGAAATCGTGCTTCATTTGATCGATTTGGTCGTCCACAAACTGTAGATGAACGTATCGTAAAGCAGCAACAATCGAGCCACTCAGAACCCAAAGTGACTAACTCCGTGAGATAAAATTTATGAAATTTCTTTTTGTATTTATGAAGAATCAAGCACCAAGCATGTGCTCTGATACTAAAATTGGAAGAATACGAGAAAGTGGAGTTAATCGTTCTGGTTTCTGAGTGGCTCAATTAAAAAGGAATATTTGCGTTCTATCAACATCGATTACTTACGACAATTGCCGCAGGTTTTGAATCTGCCAAACAGAAAATCCAGAATACCACGCGTTTCTCTCACTTCGTCATTTTGAATGTCCTAATGAAAATAACACTGTAGATACATTGTCGAACTTCATTATTCCAGAGCTTCATTACTCCAAATTTATAAAAATCGTTAGTCTTTGAATGTTACTTTTACAGTGTTTTCATTTTGGGATAATTTATTTGTTAAAACATTGTTTAGATGTTTAAAGAAATGGTAGTCTGCTGGGGAAAAGTCTAGTGAATAGGGGAAGATGTAGCACAAATTAATTTTTTTAATAATTTTTCTTCAAATGTTATCATCGACGATCCTATCTGGATCAATTTTGAATTTTGTACACCGTTGAAATATCTTAACATATACATAACCTTCAAATGCTAAATTTATATTTTCAACAGTTTTGGTCGGCAAGTTTAAACTTGTATGAAATAATTATGCGAATATCCTGATTATTCATCATGTCAGATAATAATGTCGAAACAATTGTATTAAGAATATTTTTACTACTCAATTCAGTAAATTTCTTCTTGACTATTGTGTATGAAAATGTATGATCGAACAAAATTTAACATATGGCATCGACCTGCTAATTTCAGTTATTGAAGAAACAACATTTAAGGGTTCTTTTGCTTTTAGACAGTCGAAAAGTAACTGTTCTTTGAGAAGTTTTTGCAAAAAAGCTACGAAATCAAACGTCTAACTTTGGTCGAAGAATACCAAAGAATAACAAAATGGCGGCACGTCAAAGTGACGCTTCGAGTTTTTGCTAAAAAATCGTTGTTTCTGGAGCCTTTAAAAAGTAGTAATTTTTGGAATTTCACGATTACAGAGGATGATGCCTTACCTACACGTGTACCGAAAATTTGTACAAAATTTCAGAAAAATCCGTTGAATAATTTCCGCGAAATCTTGCACACGCGTTTCGAAAAAGTAGTTTCGAGAAAGACGCGTTTAAAGTTTGTAAAAGGATTATTCTTAATACCTATACTGAAATCTTGCTGAGGTTCTAGGGAAATCCCGCCGCCTACGGAGACGTCAATTTCTCGAATTTCAAAAGAATCCTTTCAGGGATATATTTTCAAAGGTTCAAGGTAACCGAAAATGCAAAAACAGTAAATTCATCATTCTTCAAGCGAAAGGCTCTTTAATGTATTTCTAACTATTTCACACAGATCTCACTTACAATAAATAATATTCCATTTAAAGAAGTTTTCTTTCATAGTACTGCTATGTATACATATACAACGAACTTTATTTTCGAAATTCACGTTACTTACGCTCGTCACACACACTATCGCTCATAAGTTCAATCGCGCAATGCATAAGTGCGATGTAATTTAATTCATTTCAAATCGACGAAACTCCAATTCCGTTTATTGAATTCAACGCTTTATACCGAACTGAACGGAGTAAAGTTTATTATTCCCGCCTAATTCATTTCTTCCCTATAGTTACTTTCAGTTTTACCGCGTTTTAACGGATGCGATTAAACTTTCGAACGGTACTGTAGGTCTTTTTTTTACAAATATAGTTAAATGTGCGCCTACGTTTGCACAGTTGATAACGTGTTAACGATTAGCAAGATCGGTAAGGATAAGCTTTAGTCAAGCAACAGGACGCAATGCAGCAGAAAGAAGATTAAGATTGCTTACAAATGTATTAAGTTTGTCGCAGCGTGTCGATTCGAAGGTAAGCACCAACAATAGGGCGCAAATGAGATACTTGACGAAGTTCTGCAGCTTCATGGCTTTCTCTCGGTTGTCGAAACTGTACTGGCCTCGGTTAAACAGTTGGTTTGTCTTGTATAGCGGGATTATCGTTACCCGCATCCCGAAGAGACCAAGAATTTTTCCTCAAGGTCCGATGCATAAACCTGTGGTTTCTACCAGCCTGAGGATGCTGATTCCGTTTTGCTTCTTTCATTTTCGCCTGAATTACAACCGGTCAGTAACAGGACGGTTATTACCGTTAGGAGATTTCAGGTATTGGAAGGTGGGCCAATCGAAGGAACGAAGTATATTTGACACGTACAGTGTTCAAACGCAAACTTTTATTTGAAACATGGAAATTAGGTTGAGTCTTAGTTAGAAGTAGATAATCGAAGAGATTTTTACGGAACTCTTCTGTTGAACGATCTTAGAATCATTCCAAGCGAGAATCGGATAATTTATGCAAAATTTCAACTAAATCGAATAACTAGAAAACATACTCTAGAGTTTTATCACTTTCTCCTTACTCCAATTTCTATATGAAAATGGTCCGTTTAAGGAGTTATTCCCATTTGGAGATGTCATTTTTGGGTGACATTCGCGTTAAAAAATTATTGGACGATTATATAATACACCAAGGGATTTGAAATTCTTCACACATGTTTGGTCATGCTTCAGGAAAGCACATTGTAATTTTTATGTAATTATCTTAATTATTACTTAACACTTTACCGACCGGTAGCCTATCAATCCATTTTTTTTCGCCGACGCTTACCGACCGATAGCCTATTAACCGGTCAAAGTTTGATTTAATATTTCTACAGGTATAAGAAAAAGCGAGTATATTCCCGCGCAATAGCCTAGAATCTAAACAGAGCCGGGGTCACCGATGTATCTGTGGCCGAGTGACCGGTCGAAAGCGCGTAGAATGTTCAACCGCTACCGGTCGGTAAAGTGTTTACACAAAGTTATTACATATTTTCCGCAGTGTGCCATTCTGAATGGCTGCCCCAATTCACGTTGTTGTATTCATTTGAAACGGAAAAATCAAAGATAATCTTAATTCATACGAGTGTTGTTATTGTTTCTACTAGAATAAAACCAGAAGAAAAGTAATTTGACCAAATGGCAGCCACGTGAAGCAAAAATATCGCTTTTATCGTGAAAGTTTTACTTTATATAAAGTGATATTTATTTTATACGTATGTGAAATTTGCGAGAGATTAGTTGATTCCTAATTGAAAAATCATGGCAGCCAGTTTGCAAAACGCGGTTTCGAGAAAAACGCATTTAAAACTTTGCTTCATCCAGCGTTTTTAGCGTTGCACTTCGTTAATTCCACGCGTAGAATTTTAGCAACACATTTTCAAAATGTTACACTTTCAGAGAATACAATAAAAAAGCGATATTTTGATCCCTCCAAATTTTTCTACTTTACATCTACTTTGGCACTTCGAACACTTTTTTAATCATCCGTAACTCGAAAACTAAGGTGTACAGGGTGTATTCAGTAACTGGGCCAAGTTACAACTCGGTTGTTGTTGAAGATAGAAAAAAATTGTCGAGTTTTTAAAATTGAAAATTATTAATAAACTTATAAATTTACTTATATTAGTGTGTAGATTTATCCCCTGAATGAATGAATCATCCTGCATATGACATTAGGTCAATTTGACCCAAATTTACTTATTCCTGTAACTTTACAAATTCCTTCCAAGGGTTAACTAAGTGAACAATGCAGCATAAAGCGCGTATCATACAAAGTGTTGCACGGTGCTTTCTCTGAAGCTTTTAAAGATAGCGAGGAAATAGTTTCTATAGTTTGCATGGTTTTTTGGGGTTTTATAAGTATTTCTGGAGGAAAATAATCTTTCGGGATACATTGAAATCTCTTGTATATGATGCTTTTTAATTACTGTTAAGGTAAAATAAAGCTTACAGGCGCAATTTGTATCATAAAAATGTTTATTGACGTTAATTTTATTACAAAAAAGATCATCTCGTCATTAAGCATAATTATTCGATCTGCAGGAGAGATATTAAAATTACATTTTACATGATTCTTCAAATTTGCAATTTTCAATACGCGAATGTGAATGTTCTATCGAATCGATAGTTACAATTAAACTTTGTCATTTTTAGAAAATTTTTATTATACACAAATCTGCTAATAATTTATACCTGTTAACATTTAATAAAAAATCAGCTAGAGGAAAAGTTTGAGTATTTTATAAATATAGTACACTATAGATATTAATGTGCATTCAATTCTTCACTTTTTTTCCATGTCCTTTTAGTTAAATAGAGATTTAGAAATCACTTCGACTGTTATATACATTTGAGAATGAAGCAAGGAATCGTTAAAAAAGAATCTTTCAAAACTAAAGCAAATGCAAGATTTAATAAAAATGTACATATACGACGATAATATTATTTTTGTCCGAATGTTTAAGACTTTGAAAGTATTTGTAGAATATATATATATGGTCGCTCCAACATTTGGAAATTTGATTTGAATGAATATTCGAAATGAATCGTCAGTGGCTCAATACAGCATTCACTCTATCGTAAGTGATAACGTCAAGCTGTTAAATTGTCCTAGAGGTTAACAATTAACATCGACGTAGAGAAAAATTCTGAATATCGTTATATATAATAATCGACCGGTATCAATTTTGATCACAAAAACATCCCTCTCGCGAATGATAAACGATCCAATCTATATATCGCGTGACTCTTGTGTAAACACCAGGATATCCTGGTCGGGCACATCCGTTCCCCCAGGATACTATACCTATAAGTTCGTATTTCTTGTCCTCTCGTTCAGTTATAAGCGGTCCTCCACTGTCACCCTAGAAGCAGAAAAGAATATATAAAAAACTCTTATCTACACGATCCCTAGGTTAATTGAGAAAATATTGACATTTAACAGCTATCACTTGTACATTGGTATCGTTGGTTTAGTGTTTAGGGTGGTTGAAAAGAAGCTGGTTCTATTTCCTAAGGGTTAGACCATCTTTCAGATTTGAAAAAATCGAATTCTCTTTTTGCTGAAATGTATAATTCATACTTTCAAAAATATCAAAAATCAGAGCCGAAGTTTTCCATATGTGAATTAGTTAATTTCTTCGAAACGTTTAAAATTGATTTTGTTTTTTGGCAAAAAGTGATCTTTCCTCTTCAAACTGACACCATTTCTATGATAATTACAATGTTTGAAAAATCTTGCGCCACATTGTAGGTAATACATTTTTGTCTACAAATCGACAAGAATTCTGTATTTCAGACGTTTCAATCGAGAGATTTCGCAATAACTCATCCACTTTGTAACATTTGTACTTTTCAAAGATTGGAGAAAGAAGCTGAATATTCTATTCATATCCTCTGAAAAATTCAAAACTTTTCATTTGGTAGTTACCTATGAAAAAAATTCCCAAGCTTTCGCCCGATCCAAAAATTCTCATACTATATTTTCAGACACCTCAGGCCGGGGTACTTCCCCTTAACACTAGAACTACCGGCCGGGTCAAAAGTGACCCATTAGCAACTTCCTAAAAAACGTGAATGTTCGATGCTCGTAAGTGTTGTCGTTTGTTTAAGTATAATTCTCTGCACGTATATCTACTTCGATTTGTATCCAGATGAATGTAATTTTTCGATTACGCTTTAGTCGGAATAAAAATTCACTTTTGGGTCGCATTTTGCTTTTGTTCCAGGGTTGAAGCTTACTTGACAAGAATCCTTCTTGCCATCGGGATATCCAGCGCACATCATGTTATCGGAAATCATGCGAGGGCTGTAGCTGGTATTGCGGCACTCCCGAAGGCTCATAACCGGTACTTCGACTTCCTGCAGCAGGCAAGAAGGTTTTCCATCCTCGTGCAACGTACCCCAGCCGGATGCGATTGCTTTCGTCCCGACGTACAGGTTATCTGGTAACATTAATACCGCCCGTATATGCAACGAAATAAACACGAGTGGAACGGAAAGAAAAAGGGCAGATTACGACGGAATGCGAATAAACAAACGCGTGAACGGCCGACCCAACAACTTAGGTACAACGCTCCGTTTTTGGGGCTGCATGCGTTTTCATCTATTTGCACTTTTCACTTTTCAACGATTACAGTTCGCTGCTTGACACAGATTACACAATTTCGTAGCAATTATTACCGTGCTGCGCGTCCAATTATGCTTCGAAATGTTTATCGTACGGTTACATTCGCGAAAGGCGCCCGTATATTGACTAATTTCTGTCTGCAACACAGCCGCGCAATTAATCAACTAATAAATAACACGAGCGTTGACTGAAATGTGCAATAACGAGCGGTAACAACTATTGCCAATGTGATCGTTTTACATTTTTCTTCGATATCGTTGCGACGCGCTTTTCGTTGTCTCTGATAGGTACATACACTTGTGATCTGTTGGCTCTTGTTTTTAACGATTGTAAACAACAATGATCGTAACACCTTGGATGAAAATTCTTATGCTTTCCTGCTGTGAAAATTTTAACATTTAACTAACAGATTATTAAGAGGGTATTCCCATTTGGAGGGATCAAAAATTCGTCATTTTCTCAAAGTATAACATCTGGAAAATGTGTTGCTAAAACATTGAATGCGTTCTTCTCGTGTTTTGCAAACTGGTTGCCATGATTTCTCAACGACGAATCAACTAATCTCTCCAAAATTTTACGTACATATAAAATAGATATCACTTTATCATCCGTACTAGAATTATGTCAATGTTTGCAATAGTTTTTCCTTAATCGCCCGAAGAAGTTAAAACTTTCACGATGAAAACCATGTTTTTGCTGTCATTTGGTCAAAATACATTTTTTTTTGTTTTATTCTAGTAGAAACAATAACAATTTTCTGTTTCAAATGAATACAGCAACGTGAATTGTGCCAGCCATTCCGAATGGCACACTGCTGGAAACATGCAATAATTTAAATAATAATCGAGATAATTACATAAAAATTACTCTGTGTTCTCCCGAAGCATGACCAAACGTGTACGAAAAAGTTCAAGTTCCTTGGTTTATAATTATCTAATCATTTTGTATCCTAATGGTCGCCTAAAAATGACGTCTTCAAATGGGAATACCCTCTTAAATACCACATTAGCAGTTGAAACGAGCACAATGCAAAATAAACTACTCTGAAACTCACACAGCATAGTAGTAGGTTTAACAAGAGGAATGCTAAAAAATAAGCAGAAAAAGATTCATAGAAAATATTTTAACATTCTTAAGAAACAAAACTTTATATGCTGATCTGATATCTCCATCTCTGTCCAATAAATCGACATAGCTTTAAAAATCTCGCGTGCGAACGATTCATGACAACAGTCGTTACCAATATTTTGATCCATGACCTAAAAAGAAAGGAAGAGTAAACATCTCACCTCTTACAGACGGCAGGCATATAGGTCTTATGGTGTCGCTCATGGGTATCCTTTCATTAAGGCGCAACAGAGCAATATCGTTGTCGAAATTCAGGAAGCTAAAGTCACCGGTTAGCACTCTGATCACGTATCTGGTTTCGGCTCCCTTCTCGAGACATCTATCATGTTCACCGAACGTTACCTTGATCATGAACCACATGAACCTAAAAACAGGACTAGGAAAGCTGATTACGTTCGCCTTCAGAATGGAATCGTTACTGATAATTGAAGCACAGATTTGTAAGATAGTGTGCTTGATTAACACGAATGACCGGCCGGGTCAAAAATGACCCATTAGCAACTTTCTAAAAAAAAAGATTGTTCGATGCTGGTAAGTATTGTCGTTTGTAACTTTTAGACTTTATTTTCTGCATACACAAGGTGGACAACGTAACTTGACCGACTTACTTCCATTACTACTGGATCAATAGAAATTCTTTTTAGTTTAAATACCTTGGTTTGAAAGAGCCTATAGGCTTTCATAGGTCATTTTTTTTTTCGAAGTTATCAAGATCACCTTCAGTTTTTTAAATGGAACCTTATAAATTTTTTCACCTAAATTTTAGCTGACATGGAAGTAATTAAGATGGTATAAGTTCACCCGGTATACTTTCATTTGTATCGATATGAATTAAAATTTACAATCACGTTTTAGTTACATAGAAATTCATTTTTGGAAAGTCGCTAGTGGGTCATTTTAGCCCGGCCGGTCGTTCTAATGTTAATCCGCCATTGCGTAGCAAGGGAATTAAAAAGTTTCGTTGTTCATTTCGACAGATTTTTCATGAATTTGTTCTTACCCTTTCACGCAGTGAGCCGCGGTAAGGACATAACGGTCGTTTATTAGTGTTCCTCCGCAATAAAACTTGTTCAGGTATGAAAGTCTGGCCATCCATGGGAACTCATTCATATGAGTTGTTTGACCGCCAACTATTCGACTTTCTTCGTTCCGCAGGCCACAGCCTAATTGTTTAAACAGATAATTACACGTTGGAAAATTTCGTTCTCGTAATTGAGAAACGTGTCAATTAATGTTAATATATACTGATAATACAATATGTTTTAAATAATAGAAATTTAAATAACAACATGTGTATACAATAATATAAAAAAGGTATAATAAAAATTGTATTAGGCTTACTACCCAAGTAGTGTTTAGTAACGCTAAAGTATTAATCAGAATACTATTAGTTCGATACTAAATGATAATAAATTAATTAATTTTACATTTAATCTACTGCACGAGAAGTCAAAAACAAATAACTTCAATTGACAATAACGGTGTTATAGTTAAATAAATATTTAGCAGCATTACGTAATTAACTAGAGTCATCATTTTGATTATATTGTTTAGTAATATACATTGCTTCAATTTCATACGACCATTGATAATTTAGCGACATGTGACGTTGATAAAAATATAACTGTACTCACTGCAATAACATGGCCCAGGCGCTTCTGCAGCGTTTGGTGGTTTATTACCAAAAATACCAAAAAAGTTTTTTACTCTTTCACCGATAGTGCTTGCCTAAAAATTCGTGCAGATCTAGATTAATATTTTTATATCGTACGCAATTCTATCCAGATGACTTTAGTAAGTGAACGTTATTACTATAAAACAGTTATTTTATTATTCAATAGAAACATCGTTAGCATTATAGTTTTTGCTTGAAAAATCAAATTCAATCCATATTATACCATGCAATCTTAATCTAAATCGTTACTCCTACTGTGCCATTCTGTGTGAAATTCGTTGTAAAAATTTATGAAATTACAGCCACTAATTTATAATTTCCTTAAACGAATGAAATTTTAATTATATTACTTTTATACCGTACTACGATACGCTATCATTTACTTTGAAATATATCTAGATAATTTACAAATCCATGTGAGTTGCACGATACGTACACTAGGAGGCATAAATGTGGCATACGAAATAACAAACAGAACCAAAGAATACCTCCTAATTTCACAGTAACCCGTTAAAGAATCTCGTCTGTTTACTCCACAATTCTTAGCCGTATTTATCGGTAAATTCTTCGTTCGAACTATCTACCGTAGAAATGATCTTACGTGACAGGGGTCCGAGACCAAAGATAGAGCGAGTAATAATCCAATCCACCAGGAGAATTTCATCTTCCGTGATGAAATTCCGTCTCCAGTTGTATTTGTGTGAATTTTCACGCGCCACGCTCCGAAGGAAGGTTTCTATGGATGAAAGATCTGCCACACGGGCACTGTCAGGAACGAGTTACAGACATGTCCCTGACTGGGAGTTACTATCGCCAGTGTCCCACGGCAACTGAGGACGACTCAGGTCGAAGTAATTGCTATTCCAGAAGAGAAGGAGGCCACAGCCGACTGGTCGGCGACTGGACAATACCTGACCAGTTCAGGTTCACGTTCAGGGTCGAATTACGGGTGACTGTTATTGACCGTCATCAGGGTCACGCGGCAACTTTTGAACGATTTACATCGATAGTCACAATCTCGCTTTTATCGCCTCATGGGTGTGGACCTGATCACCGTTCCAAAACATGCTTGAGTATTTCTATCGCGACGATCACTATCATCGTGGAAAACGATCAGCAATTCACATTTAATAATTATCTTCGCTTTAAGCGATTTACACAGGTGCAAGTCGCCTCACGCTTGCTCGGTTCTCCGGCTAAAGGACGATGACAAAAATTCTGTTTCAATTCTTGGTTCAAATGTTCGTAGAATAACAGAAATATTTCTTTTCGTAATTGTACAACAGAATAAAGTAAGTACTTCCTTCGTATCGGTCGTTTAACCCACTCGGGGCCAGGGACTTTTCCAAAGTCGGTCCGCAGGAGCCGAAATTTTTCTTCTATCGAATATTGAGAAAAGAGAGCCTGTTTGGGAAGTGAAAAATTAACATTGTAGACATTTTGTGTCTACACTCACTTTGTGGTCCTAGCTTGAAACCAACGCAGGTTTTAATATCTGCAGAGCTTTAACTTTTATTTTCTTTAAAAATCATCTGATTTCAGTAATAACGTAATACGAATCCATGATCATTACACACACCAGGTGTGTCATTGGCCTCGGAAGGGTTAAGGACAATTTTCGAGCAATTTAAAAAATCCTGTTAACTATACCATCTTCGCTGATTGTCATAAAAGAAATCGTTAGAATAACAAAGAGGTACACGTTTAAAAGATTCTTCATAATAATGATACTACTCTTTATTGAAATAAACAACGAATGTTTGGAACAACGAATAAATTATCAAATCTGTATAATTTGGTTAATGATTTGTTCGAAAAGGATATCGCAATATTTAAGGAAGAAAATATTATTTCTTCTACGTATTCATTCCGACCTATTAGGATGTACCCAAAAATCAGTGTCACGAATGTATTATAGAAATTCCAAGGGAGGAGACGTTTATGACTATCCATCTGTATCTTATTATATGCAAAACTCTTATTATACACAAGCTTGGCGCGACATCGGGTACCGTTCAACCGCGAACATTTTGTACTAATAATGTGCCGTCGATTCGAAATAGACAGAGACGAGATCGTTCGATATACTCATTATGGTCTGGTTTTTCCACTTTCGACTAAATTACGATGCATTTTATGTCGCTTGTCGTTTATCTGCGATCTTGAGAGCATGCCAAGCGATCGGAGAAGAAAAATTCTGGAATTTTACGGTACTACTCGGAGCGTTCGTTTTTATTGATATTTTTTTTCAAAGTTTTACGAAAATAGTTCTTGAATATTGTCACGTATACGAGAGAATGCGTTAATATCGAGTGTAGTTTTATTACATTCAGAAGGAAATTTATGTTAAAGGATAGTTAATATCTTCGATTAAAGTACCTGCTGATATTTTATGTACAGGCGGACGTGAGATTGGTTATTTTTCTCAGCGTTTTCGGATAAGTTTAAGAATGTTGTCTTGCATATACTCAGTGCCAGTGGAAAAAGTCTTCGTACAGCTGATTAGAATTTGTTTATAGAATTTACAGTCTAAAATATACGTAATATGAAAAATGCAAAATGCCTACAAACAAGTCTACAAAGGTGTAAATACAAATTAGTTTGCTGTTTGCAAGCAAGTAGAAAAGACGTTATTCAAAATAATTTTCCCACAATGGACAATATCTGTTTACATTTATTTGTTCAATTATTAACAAATGAATGTAAAGCATTGTTCTTTGTGCTAATATTAAACGTTATATTTCTAAATAAAATAACGTAAATATGATTTATTTACTACTTTTTCTGTTAAAATTATACAACGCAAAACAATAATCTAATCAGCTGTACGGAGAACTTCTTGATTGACAATCTTTTCTTTTTTTAATTTAAAATGTAAATGTGATCAGAGTTTCCAACAATGCTTACCGATAAGCAGTCCTAAGTAAACTGAAATATAAATTGCATTGAAATAACTAAAAATAGATATTTATCTTTAATGGTTATCTTTAATTATCCTCGTAATACTACAGTAATAAGTACGAAAATGAGAAACTTGCGTTATTTTATTGAAACATTTGAAACACTTAAATTAAGTCCTAAGACAAATTTGAAATCAATACAACTAATGTTTCGGATGCGATATATTTTCTATAACAGATATACATTGTTGAGCATTAGTTTCAAACGTATGCAGTGCATTGACGCACACGTTGTCGTCCTGTTTTCAGTAGAAAATTCGCTTCGTTAACTTAATCGTGGTTTGACAGAAAACCGTTACAGATCATTATTCCATCGACGTTCGGCCGCCATTCATGCAAGAAAAGGTGTGACACGGGTACAACTTGAATTATACAATACTACTTGGATGTTACAACTTTTTACAGATGCATTTACAAAATAAACAATTTTCTGAATCCACTACTTTCCCTGTTAAAATATTCTTTTACGAAAGATACATGTATATAGATAAAAGTATTTACGGAAACATTCAGTAGAACGTTAAAGAATTCTGTTAGGTTTGTGCATATGAAACGTCGTTTGAAATGACACTTTGCAAATAATGTAATTAATTGAAATAATTTCAACACGATTCTATACACTTTTCCTAACGATTAACTAGTTTCATTATTCCAAATTTATAAAAATCGTTAGTCTTTGAATTGAAAAATTCTTTAAATGCTGCTCTTACTTTTTACATTTTTCTACTTTTAGTGTCTTGTTACGGAACGAGCCGTAAAGGTTGAGATCGCCTTCGTTTCGGGTTGATTAAAGGCGTAAAATTCCAGAAATGTGTTTGATGTCGTTTTATTACGAACGGGTGTCGTTCTAAGAGTATCGTTTTAGACTATCTGTCGACCTTGTGCAGGTACGTCGGTTTTATACTAGTTTTGGCACCTTGCTTCCGACCAATCAATGGTCAGGAAAAGGGCCTGGAGTCGAGCGTCGCTTCATGGGTTTTTCCCGACTTTGCTCCCTTCCTACCCGTGGCGGTTGCTTGGCGTTTTGGTTTATAATTATAAAGGTGTTTGGTTATGGTAATAATATCTAATAATAATAATGTTATAATAGTATCTAATTACAATAATGTTAATAATAATATTATAATAGTATCTAATAACAATGTGTGGGGGACAGGCAGTGGGTTCGTAACAGTCTTCACTTCGGAATAATTTATTTTCTAAAAAAATTGTTCAGGTGTTTGAAGAAATGATAGTCTGTCGGGGGAAGATCTAGTAAATAGGGGAGGATGTGGCAAAATTTCATATTTTTTACCGTGGATTGTTTTCCACAATTTTTCTTAAAACGTTATCATCGACGGCCCTATTTGGCCTTCCCTCATTTTCCAACGAAGAGTCACCAATCTTGAATTTTACACACCAACGTTTTCCAAGTTTAAACTAAACTTAAAATAATTACTCGAATATCCTGATTATTCATTGTGTCAGATGATAATGTCAAAACTTAACATAATATGGTATCGACCCGCCGATTTCGGCTGTTGAAAATAACATTTCATTTGCACCTGCCTAATACAAATAATATACATATACATAAACAAATTAATACATGCTTTTCTATGATAACATAGTAATATACAGGGTGTCCGTGCAAAACTTGAACACCTAAGTATCTGTTTTGTTTTTAACGATATTGGAGAATCTTTAAGACGTAGTCTCAATGGTTTCGAAGAGGGACAAGAAAAGACTATTCCCCATATTCAATTTTTTTGTAATTTTTCAAGGTCAGAGGTTTTTTTTACGGGAAAGCATATACACATGTTCTTCTGTTACACCTTGTAGCGGATATTAAAGTGCATTTGAGCAGTTATGAATTTGAACACCGAAAATGTGATAAAATTCCAAGACAGAGTTAGGATGGTATGTGAACTTAGTGTTTATGTTAGTATAATAAATGTTCAAAGTGACGTCCATCGCCGGCGGTACATTGTCCGAAACAGGCAATCATGGATTGTGATGTTCGATTATGTTTGAACTAATAGCAATGCAAGCTTTAATAATTCGATTGGTCGCTATTTTTTCTGGAGTGATTAGGTTAGGTATCCTAACCTAACTCTGGGTAAACGCTAAATGTATCGAGACTTAGAATTTGTAGATCGTAACTAAGATTTGGAAACAAATGACCACGGAAAATATTTTTTCTTTACTCCGTGTTCCTCCTTCGAAACCATTCAGATTATGTGTTAAACATTTTTCAGCACGTATCGTTAAAAACAAAGGAAATATTTAGGCGTTCGGGTTTTGCTGAGACAATCTGCATACACAAGTCAAAAAAACGTTTGTCACATCGTTAAATTGCCGATTACTTAGCAGAAGTTACAACAATTGGAGGTTAATAAATAATTTCACAGAACCATAAAATAATTTCCTATCTTATTAAGTTAGTTTCTCTAGTTCACTTTCTACAAATTCTTTTATACAGATAACAAAATTTGCTAGATGATCGACTTTTGTCCTTAGTTTGTACATAAACATCCTCCTTGCATATTTGTGCCGATCCAATTTAGGTACCTAGTTACCCTGGTGTACACTCCAGGGTATCCTGGCCTCCCACAGCCAACACCCCAAGAAACAATTCCTATATTCGGGAAAGAAAGAAAAATTAAAATGAATAGGATAGTACATAATACATCGCTTAAAACAAATACTCATTCCCGTGTTTTTAGTCGATAAACATGTCCCAAAGAAGAAGAAAGAAATAGAAAATAGGGAATCATGCTTAAAAAGCGAAAGGTATACCGTCAGTACACTACAAAAATGCTATTCTTTTCGAAAAGAAATCTTATACGTACTAATTTTTATTAATCTTCAATAACTTCACAATAACGCTACTAACTTTATTTTGGTAAAATTTCATTTAACAAACAGTCAGACATAAGTCATATTTTGTAAAATTAATACTTTGAAAGAAATTTCCTTGCTATAAAGTACACTTCAAAGTTTCAAAATCCAAAATATTACTAATTTCAGATAATTCTGTGATAAAGATAAAATCGTAAAGTTCAAAGTGAAATTAAACGTTCTAAATGCTCGTAGGATATCAAAGTGTAGCTTTAAACGACGGTTTTATACATGTCAGCACGTGTATTTCAAGTACTTAATCCTGTTGCAAGCATTTCTTAATTTATGTATAAACAGTGCAAACTTTATAAGGATTTAAACTTTGAGCAGGTTTATAAAGAAATGGTTAAAAGTGGCAGATATGACATATTTTCTGTATGTCTATCCGGATTTGAACAAATAGATGACCTACGTATTATAGCGTTCAGGACGCGAAAGCTACACGTTCAGGCGCACCGGGACGTTTAAGTATCACTTGGTCTAACAATAAGAATATTTTGCATATTTTTATATACACATTTCGTTATTCTTTTTTGCGTTGTTTATCGTACTTTAATTACGTTAGTTACATTAATCATATTCTTGTTGAAAAATCGACAAAATTTCTTAGTTACTTTTTCGTGTTATTTATCGTATTTTGCTTCTATTAGTTACATCAATTATATTTTTGTTGAAGAAAAAGTGATATAAAGGTGTTTTTAATTTTGGCCACAAAATGTCGCTTTCCAGACCACTGCGCGGCGGTAGCGACAGGAGTAACAAGAATACAGGATAAGGATGGGTACGGATGAAAAAGTAGATGTAAGATATGGTAGTATGCAAGAGAAGTAGGTATAAATTAGCAATAAGGAAAGTGTAAATATAGAATAAGGTTAGGTTAAGGAAAACTGTAATCCTAATGCAGCGTTCACATTGGTGTTCGCGAGCAGTTCGCGAACAATTATGACCAGTACATAACATACTTACATACGTACTAATTTCTTACCAACTATTTCGAGTCTGTCGCCTTCTTGTACAACAAGAGGACCACCACTGTCACCTTGACACGAGTCTTGACTACCTTGACCGGCGCAAAGCATGTTCTCAGTGATTCGATTCGCGCGATACTTCATTTTACGACACTGTATTAAACTTAATATCGGCACTTGTACTTCGTGGACTTGTCCAGCCAGCATACCTCCTTCCGACGTTCGACCCCAACCGATCACGGTCCCTTCTTTACCAGCTGGATCATTACCTGTAATCGTTATTACAGATTTATTTGATGGTAGAAAGATAAATGATGTCAACTTGGGTTTCAATAACACTCTGCATGACGAATTGGCTAATTGACACTATGCTTAACACTAGAACCACCGGCCGGGTCAAAATGACTCGTTAGCAACTTTCGAAAAAATGTGAACGATCGATGCTGATATTATCGTTCGTAACTTTCCGAATTCACTTTCTATCTGTATCGATATGAATCTAATTTTTCAATCACGTTTTACTCACATAAAAATTCACCTTTGGAAAGTCCTCGATGGGTCATTTTGACCCGGCTGGTAGTTCTAATGTTAATTTAAATTATGGGACGATAAGACCCTATAGAATTTCATATTTTTTACTAGTTTCAATTAAAATTATATCAATTAATCTCAATAAAAAGGTTTACAGGACGCGCCATTTTGACACATTTCGAATTTCACAAGGGAAATTACAGAAACCGTTTACATTTCTCTCCTACTACTTATGCTTATTATAAATTTTATAGAAATATATAATTTCACGTAGTTTCATTTATAAGTTAATATGTTGTTTTTTAAAGAAAATGTGTGGTTTCATTCACGCGTCAATTTGACGCGTGTCCGTAGAGATAGGTATATAAGAAATGTCCGTAAACCTAATGTTAAAAAAAAATACTTGGTACTACATTAGTAATTCATAGCTTATAAAAGGATATAGCTTTACGTCAGCGATTTTGGTTTTGATTTGCAAAGGAGTTAGTAGAGGCCTTGTATTGTATAAAAATTGTTAAGTATGAATTGGTGATAAAAGAAATAATTTTTAAAATTTATAGCATACAGGGTGCGACATAAATCGGTCGCGACGATATTTCAGCTGGTTCTCATACTTTAACAAAAAAATATTTCTAATAAAACCATACCAAGTTCATTGGTATCAAGTGAAGAGTTTATTGGTGTAAGATAAATATTTAAAAGTATCTTTTTTCCATGGAAACCTAAAGTCAACTTATGTTTTCTAAATAGCATTGTACATCTTTCTTCTCATACTCAGAAACTACAGGTCAAAATCAATTCAGCGAAAAACAAAATGTATTATTCTAATTATTTGACCATAAAATAATTTTATTTATGACGCACACTGTATAAAAAGCAGAATATTATGTAAAAAGCTGTGTCCTCTTCGAAATATGACTGCTAATTCTTATACTTGCGTAAATAGATTAAGACAAGACGGTACATAAAAGAGTTCTTAAATGCTCTTTGTAGTAATGATAATTGAATATTTTTCATTCAGATATGTACATACACTACCGGCAAAAAGTTTGGAATCACCTCCCACTTTTCATCAATATTAAATCTGCTGCTAATTTTTTATAGATTTGCAGTTTATCTCGTATCAATTGATTCGAACGATAAAAAATTCTCAAAGTCGCAGACTTTTTTCTGTAAATTTTTGTGTAAATTGCAATGCTCGGTGATTCCAAACTTTTGGCCGGTAGTGTACGTAGTTATTAACATCTGTTACAATTACTTACTTGTTTGGGGTAAACATATTGGTCTAATGGTTTTGGAAAATTTCACAGACTTGCGAAGTTTCAACAAGGCAACGTCATGATTGTATGAATTCATATCGAAGTTCCTATGACGAATTATAGCACTCACTGCTCTCATTATTGCTTTCCCGTCAGTATTCACATGTTGATCGTAATCACCGAGAACTATACGAATCTTCGAACGCTTTAGCCTGGGAAAAATCTAACCATTCACAGTCAAGTTTTAAAAAGTAAATAATTAATTTCTTTTTTAATTTGTTCAGTTAAGTTTTCTTTCCACTTTAAGAATTCTTGATGTGAAATATAAAAATTAGCGTTCAACAGTTAGTGAGAATAAGGAAGAAATAATTCTTCGTTCAAGTTGAATAATTTTAGCAATCGGTAATACTGCAGGCTATTATTAAGAATCATATCTTGGTCTTAATGGTTTAAATGTATTCTCTGTTATCTTATATTTCTACAACGTGCGGGTGGTTTAGAAAAGTATTAGCTTTTCTAACGTAAAATTATTAACTCGAGAAAAGGAAACTACATTGTTAGTGGTGAATCTTGTATCCCTTGCAATTCAAACTTTTTCGCGAAGTTGTACTTTACACCGTCTTAATTTAACACTAGAATTACCGATCGAGCCAAAATGACACATAGCAACTTTCGAAAAAATGTGAATGTTCGATACTGGTAAATAATCTCATTTGTAACTTTCCGAATTTATTTTCTGTATGTACAGTGACCGAAAAAAGTATTCATACACCCTATACAATGGAATAATTCTTTTAAAATTGGACCAAACGACTTGAGTTTTTTTGAGAAGTTAGAAAGATTAATTTACTAGATGATGTGTGGAAAAATTTTTGGAAAAACCGCAATTAGTTGGAATCGCGAAGAAAATAGCGAAGGTCGTTTTTACAACTTTTTTATCTGAGCTCGTAATGAAAATTTAAAAAATACGTTTTGTAGATCTATGTCAATTATACGCATGTTGAAAATTTCATTGAAATTGGTAGATGGAGAAACAAGCGACAGGCATCGAAAGATGTAAGAATCTGCAGATTTATTACAGTTCTAGGCCGAAAGTCGTGAAATAGTGCGATTTTCACAATCTTTATTCGTTTGTAGCTCATAGCAACATTAACCGATTTCGAACGCGCATTCTGTGCTTTTGTACCTTCAAATTTTCCACAAATGCAAAACAATCCGCAGTCTAATTATCACTAATACTTCATTTTTCAGTATGTAATCATCTTTTTTGTCGCCATTTTGAGTGACCCACCGATGATGGGACACGCGAGGAAACAAGAGCATCGGTGACCCACGGGTGGGTCATTAAGAATTGTGTAGCTTCCCGCGGACCGCAATTCTTTCGATAAGAATTTCGTAGGGTCGTAAATCCCGCTTACACTCTAGGTGACGGTACGGGTTTGCTGCCTAATTGAGAAATTGATCTCTTTTGGTGGTTCTAATTAAGATCCGATAATTTAGAGAATGTTATTTTGTCACGATTGAATTTGCAAATGTTGATCGGAGACATTGCATTAGCGAGTACAGTATATTCTCCACAACTGACAGACCGCAAGGAAGCTAAACCTGACACTCGTAGAGCAGGGACTACGTTTTCGAGTCTCGCGCCCGCCTTTGTAGTTTGCCGAACGTAGACAAGGACAGCGAATAAAAGATAAGCATGAAACGTGAGTCGAGGCAACCAAGCGATTTAAATATCAACTTTTTTAATTTTACGTTTTTTTATCCCGAAATTTTTCTTAACATATTGATGAGATTTTTCTGATGAAAACGACATAAAACACGACATAATTTGAACAACATTTACTTATTAACACGTTCACTGTCACACATTACATAGAGTCGGCCTACCGTTTGACTGCCAGTTGGAGAATCGGCCCTACATTTGACTGACACTTGTAGAATCGGCCCTACATTTTTTTTTTCTTTTTACGTGGAGGTAGGCCGACATTAAATTAATTACTCAATAAGTATTAATAAGTAAATGTTGTTCAAATTATATCGTGTTTGATCTCATTTTCATCAGAAAAATCTCACCAACATGTTAAAAAAAATTTCAGATGAAAAAAAGTAAAATTAAAGAAATTATATTTTTCTATTATGATTTGTCGGGATCCGTGAAATCTCGTAAAGGAAACC